GTGGTTTGCCCCTGTAGCAGCGGCACAGGGTTTCTTTCCCTATGTACAGTAAACACGGATTGTTTTTATCTTAAAAGATCTGGCAGTGAGTATTTTTGCCATTTGGTTTCTGGCCTCAAAATCTCTGCTGTCTCCACATAAAAGCTTATACGTGAATGTTTACAGCAGCATTAATAATAATAGCCAAAAAGTAGAAATGACCCAGATGCCCTTCAGTTGATGGAGATGCATAAAATGTGCTCTTTCCATATGATGAAATATTCATCTGTGAAAAAGAATGAAGTACTAATAAGTGCCACAGTGTGGATGAAATATGTTTATAACGAGCACTAGGCTAACTATGGCAAGAGCACATTTTATGTATCCCCATCAGCTGTTGGGCAGCTATGTAATTTCTGTATACACTTTTATATGGAGACAGCAGAGATTTTGAGGAACAAACATGGACATGGACAATGGACTGCTTCATAACTGGGAAAGGAATACATCAAGGTTGTATATTGTCACCCTGCTTATTTAACTTATATGCAGGGTACATCATACAAACGCCAGGCTAGATGAATCACAAGCTGGAATCAAGATTGCTGGGAGAAATATCAACAACCTCAGATATGCAGATGGTACCACTATAATGGCAGAAAATGAAGAGGAACTAAAGAGACTGTTGATGAAGGTGAAAGAGGAGAATGAAAAAGCTAGATTAAAACTCATCATTCAAAAAACTAAGATCATAGAATCTGGTCCTATCACTTCATGGCAAATAGCTGGGGAAAACGTGAAAATAGCCACGAAATTAAAAGACACTTGCTCCTTGGAAAGAAAGCTATGACAAACATAGACAGTGTTTTAAAAAGCAGAGACATCACTTTGCTGACAAAGGTTCACATAGTCAAAGCTATGGTTTTTCCAGTAGTCAAACATGAATGTGAGAGTTGGACCATAAAGAAGGCTGAGTGCCAAAGAACTGATGCTTTCAAACTGTGATGTTGGAGAAGACTCTTGAGAGGACTGCAAGGAGATCAAACCAGTCAATCCTAAAGGAAATTAAACCTGAATATTCATTGGAAGGTCTGATGCTAAAGCTCCAATACTGTGGCCACCTGTTGCAAAGAGCTGACTCATTGGAAAAATCCTGATGCTGGGAACAATTGAGGGCAAGAGGAAAAGAGGGCAACAAGATGAGATGGTTGGATGGCATCAATGGACATGAATTTGAGCAAACTATGAGAGATAGTGAAGGACAGGGAAGCCTGGTGTGCTGCAGTTCATGGGATAGCAAAGAGTCAGACATGACTTAGTGACTGACTAATAGCAACAACACTGCTAAGTGAAAGAAGCCAGTCCACAAGAAGAACCACATATTATATGGTTCCATTTATATGGAATGTCCAGGAGAGGCTGATCCATAGAGACGGGATGTGGATCAGTGGTTATCTAAGACTGGGGCAAGGGAGAAAGAGATAGGAGTAGTGGGGAGTAAGACATGCCTACCAATAAGGTGGATTCTCTTTTTTGGGGTGATGAAAGTATTCTGGAATTTAGATAGTAATGATAGTTGTACAACATTGTCACTGTACTAAAACTTCTGAATTATATATTTTCAATGAATGAATTTTATAATATGTAAAATATATCTTATTAAGCTATTACAAACCCCTTATCAGAAGCTTGGGGCTTCTGACAAGAAATAATGTCCATGGAACATTTTGAAAGTGTGTGTAATCCATCCCAGATTTTTAATGTTTTTATGTTCACAGGCACTTTTAGGAACCTGAATATAGCTATACAGCCTACACCCAGAAAAAAAATCTTTACTCATTCATGTTAAAAAAGATTTGTTGATTATTCATGGACCACCTGCATCTAATTTCCTATTTTGTCTTAAAATTTTACCCTAGATCTTACCCTTCAATAATGTCAGGCTGTTAGGTAATCCTATATCTAAGTCCCATACAGATTCCTAAATTTGCTCTTGATATATCACCTGCACACTTAAAAACAGTGTTAGCTTTACATTTATCTCAAAATCAAGGGGGAAATTCCTTAATGTATTCAATTCTTAATGCTAACCCTTCCATCTATTCTCATTTTAAGCTATCTTCTCCATATTCTCTCAACTGAAGCCACGGTTCTCCCTAGTCTCTGAACTCCTCTGCACTATAGTGTCTTTGCAGATGCTGATCCCCATGTTTGGTACACCATTCCTTCCATTCTTTGTGAATTAACTGCTTCAGCTCATACTTCAGATCTCAGCATAAGCCTGTTTCTTTCCACAAAGGCCTCCTTGACCTCCTTGGTGAGCTCTATCACGGGCTTGTCATGGTAGCAATGTCCCATGTATTGGTATCTTCCTCACAAGAATATAAGTTTAAGGTTTTGCTGTCTGCTTTTGCTCACCATTGTATCACATTGACTCAAGGCTACCAAGTTGCCCGATTCCAGGGGCACTTTTCACATGGAACACATGTGAGTGGTATGCCCAGAAGTTGGGCAGTATGGCATCCTGAGATGAATGGCATATTGGAAACAGCCTGGGAGGGTTGATCTTGTCTCTGAGAGCAACAACTGTCACGTCACACAATCTTTCCTACATTGAGGATTCAGGAAATATCTCTTTTAGTTATCATTTTCAGTAAATTTTGTGTTCATTTGTGCAACTGCTTTTGACCCAAAGAGTCCCACAGCTTCTCATGTTTTCCTTTTAGTTTTGACCACTAGGAGGCTCAACTCAAATTTGAAGTCTTCTTCTAGCTACTATTTAAGACCTGATGTTCAGTTCAGTTCAGTCACTCAGTCGTATCCAACTCTTTGCAACCACATGGATTGCAGCACTCCCTGTCCATCACCAACTACCAGAGCTTACTTAAACTCATGTCCATCGAGTCGGGGATGCCATCCAACCATCTCATCCTCTGTCATCCCCTTCTCCTCCTGCCATCAATCTTTCCCAGCATCAGGGTCTTTTCTAATGAGTTGGCTCTTCACATCAGGTGGCCAAAGTATTAGAGCTTCAGCTTTAGCATCAGTCCTTCCAATGAACATCCAGGGCTGATCTCCTTTAGGATGGACTGGGTGGATCTCCTCACAGTCCAAGGGACTCTCAAGAGTCTTCTCCAACACCACAGTTCAAAAGCATCAATTCTTCGGCACTCAGGTTTCTTCATAGTCCAACTCTCACATCCATACATGACCACTGGAAAAACCATAGCCTTGACTAGACGGACCTTTGTTGGCAAAGTAATGTCTCTGCTTTTAAATATGTTGTCTAGGTTGGTCATAACTTTTCTCCCAAGGAGCAAGCATCTTTTACTTTTGTGGCTGCAGTCACCATCTGCAGTGATTTTGGAGCCCAAAAAAATAAAGTCTGTCACTGTTTCCATTGTTTCCTCATCTATTTGCCGTGAAGTGATGGGACGAGATGCTATGATCTTCTTTTTTTGAATGTTGAGTTTTAATCCAGTTTTTTCACTCTCTTCTTTCACTTTCATCAAGAGGCTCCTTAGTTCCTCTTCGCTTTCTGCCGTAAGGGTGGTGTCATCTGCATATCTGAGGTTATTGATATTTCTCCGGCATTCTTGATTCCAGCTTGTGATTCATCCAGCCTGGCATTTCTCATGATGTACTCTGCATATAAGTTAAATAAATAGGGTGACAGTATACAGCCTTGACATACTCCTTTCCCAATTTTGAACCAGTCTCTTGTTACATGTCCGGTTCTGTTGCTTCTTGACCTGCATACAGATTTCTCAGGAGGCAGGTGATGTGGTCTGGTATTCCCATCTCTTTTAAGAATTTTCCACAGTTTGAAAACACAAGACCTGATGGGTTATGTTTATATATTAAATCTATACCTGGCTTATTCTTTTTCCATTGCCATGACTTTCTATTTTATGTTAATCTGTTGCATGCATATCTGTAAGACATGTAAGTGTGTTTCTGTACATCTATATAATGACTATTCCTTTACAGTATGAGTTTTATAATAATATATATTATATATACTTTATGGGGGCTTCCCTGGTGGCTCAGTTGGTAAAGAATCCACCTGCAATGTGGGAGACCTGCGTTTGATTCCTGGGTTGGGAAGATCCCCTGGAGGAGAGAATGGCAACCTACTCCAGTATTCTTGCCTGCAGAATTCCCATGGACAGAGGAGGCTGGTGGGCTGTAGTCCATAGGGTCGCAAAGAGTCAGACATGACTGAGTGACTTAGCACACATCTTTATGGATGGGTTGTCATACCCTCCTCTAGGGAATCTTCCCAACCCAGGGATCAAACCCAGGTCTCCTGCATTGCAGGCAGATTCTTTACCGACTGAGCCGCCAGGGAAGCCCAAGAGTACTTCTGGAATACTACTGGAGTGGCAGCCTGTCCCTTCTCCAGGGGATCTTCTCGGCCCAGGAATTACTGGGGTCTCCTGCATTGCAGGCATATATAATTTATAATACATTTGATAAATATTTTGGGTATGAGGTATATAATAATATATATTATATATTATGAATAAACCATTTATTTCTAATATTTGTAAGTAATCTGAAGAGCAAATAGAATTGGAACTAAAAAAATTTGTATAGTTTGGGCTCAGATTATAAGATTTCAATTCATAATTCCAACTTGACCACTTTTGTTTGTTACTAAACATGTAACCTAATCTCTCTGAGACTGTTAATACCCTTGTAAAATAGGAACACAATCCCTTTCCTATATGATTGTTGAAAGAATTAAGTACAGAAATTTATGTGAAAGCAATTACCTGACACATTGAAACTGCTTAGAAAGTGATTTTGTTTTTGTTTTTCTTAGATATGCACTAATAAGAGCAACATTTATTTAAATTTCAAAAACCTGCCCTAATCCTGAATGTGTGTGTGCTCTCCCAGCAGCTGAGGTGTCAGATCCATCCCCCTCCCCAGGGCTTTCTAAAGCTCTGTACATGTTGGGTATAGCCATCCTCCTCCCACCCTGCCCTCAGCCTGTGTCTCTTATCTGTCACCAGATCTCTTCACTGAAGAACCGACTGAAGAAGGTCTCCACAACAACCGGCGATGGTGTGGCCAGAGCCTTCCTCAAGGCCCAGGCCGCTTTCTTTGGCAGCTACAGAAACGCTCTGAAAATCGAGCCGGTGAGTAGCTTCTTGGCATGTCACAAATCCATGTTTGGTCGGGGCCACAAGAAACTTGCTAGTCATCTTTTGTTGAATTCACCAAAGAAGGTTTTATGTGTGTGTATTTGATGGGGACTGGAGAAGTGTGCTCCCCTCACGCTTCCTCTTAGCACAAGGAAGCTGCGCTGCCCAGAGTGGAGGACTGTCTGCTCCTGTGGATGTTAGGACCCCTCCCTTCCCTGGACAGTAGCACCCTCTGCAGGTCGCAGTACTTAGTACTGTACACACCTGCTCTCACTGAGAAGTCCTGGTAAGCCTATGAGGTAGCAGTGATCATCTCCACTTGACAAATGGGGAAACTGAGGCTCACAGAAATGATGACTTGCTAACCGGTGGAGGAGCCAGGTAGGTTGTCCCAAAGCCCATGCTTCCCTCTGTGCCTCACTGCCCTTTTCCTGCAAAGGAACCTCTTCTCCACACTTGAGAGAGCAGAGCATCCAGAAGCTCACTTCTTAGAGGTTCCCAGAGTGGTCTTGGTATATTGACTGCTAAGTGTGCTGAGGACTGGGGGATAATGTCATCTGCCTCCAGGGCCCGTCAGCCTTTCAGAGCCTCTGTTACCTCATCGTGAGGTGATTAGTTATTGTGAGGATATGAAGACACCAAGTCATCCCTGAAACCAAAGAAACTACCAGCTCTCCCAGCTTCAGTGAGAAGCTTTCATCAGATGCTTAATTACTCATAGCCTCTCAGCCAAGGAGAATGGAGAAATTGGCCCAGGGACCTGGGTCACTGCATAGGAAAGGATGCTGGAGGGGACCTTGCTGATAGCCCTTTTCTCTCGGGACATGGGGCTCCCTCCCTTCCTCCTGAGCAGGCGGAGGTGGCAACCACACCTAACCTAGTCAGAGTGGCTGTGAGGGACCTAGACAGACATTTTGTTAGATTAAATGACAGAAGATGAGTAGCTGTCAGGCAGTGCACTTCATGTGCAAACTCTGACAGTGAATCTTGACCATGCAGCCTCATAAGCCACAGTTATACCTGGATAGGTACTTTCTGACTGTTATGAACCCATCATGTGTGTAAGTGAAGCACAGAGTGATAGCAAACACCCTTTAGCCAGGGTGCACACTCTGTGAAGTGGTTGGGGCAGTGGGTGCTCAAGGAACAGCAGCCTCGAGCCACCGTGTTCTTATCTTACATCCAGCACTCAGGCCTGACTTGCTCGGCTGCCTCAGCTTCAGGCAGTGTCACCTGACAGAAGGGATGCACTGTCTTTGCTTCTTAAGAAATACTTCCCTTAGGTCCTAAAAAGCCCTTCAGCTTAAAGCAAGTTCCTCATGTCCTGCTTGTCTTCAAGACAGATGGCTCTGATTCTTTGTCCTGACCTTGGGCCCAGCCAAACCAGTCAGGTTCAGTGCTGTTTGGAGAGCTGATAGAATTCAAGGAAAGTTCTGTTTTCTTCCCATCTTTAAAGTAAGAATGGGACAACTGGCCTGTCCTTATCTTAGGCTACTGGGATTGATATTGACATGAAGTATTTACACTCTTACAAAGATGTCATTGTTGTCATGTATATGTCTAGAGTCCAGAGACTGTTTATTCTGGTACATATTGCTGGGTGTATAATCTGGGCACAAGGTGCTCCTCCAGAGGAGTTTATGGTTGTATTTGTACTTATGTCTCTCAGACGGTAAAGAAACTCCTGCAATACATGAGACCTGGGTTCAATCCCTGGGTTGGGAAACTCCCCTGGAGAAGGAAATGGCAACCCACTCCAGTATTCTTGCCTGGAGAATTCCAAGTACAGCGGAGCCTGGCAGGCTAAAGTCCATGGGGTCACAAAGATTCGGACACGGCTAAGCGAGTAAAACATCCTGCTATACATCCTTAAAGGCCTCAGGTTTAAAGATTAAAGTCCAAGAGTTTAAAGCCTGGCTCTGTACTTCTAGCTGTGCAGCCTTGCATAGGGCACTTAATCTCCCTAAACTTCAGTTTCCTCTCTGTGAAATGAGAAAAAGAATACTTATTCTATATTTTCAGATGGTTATAAGGAACAAGTGAGCCATAATACTGTTCAGAGGAAAGGTAAAACTTGGAAAAAGAAAGATAGCAGCAATCCTTCCTGTGGTGGGCGTGGAAGTATCTGAGTGAGCAAAGACTTGGAGGCAGGACCCCTCATAGCCTCTTTGTCTGGGGTCATGGGTTTGGGTAGAGAGATAGGGCTGGCTTCAGGAGAGGCTAGAGCCAAATTTGACAGAGCCTTAGATCCTAGACTAGGAGTGTGAGCAGAGATATGATGTGACTGAAGTCATGTTTGACCAGTAATGCAGGACTGGATTGAAAAGGAAACTGGAAGCAGAGACCAGGGGACTGTTGGAAAACTCAGAAGATAGCCCTCCAGTGGTTACACCAGGAAAAGGTACCATGAAGAAGAAATGACTAGATGAGTCTTGAAATAGATAAGATATGAGAGATGAGGGGCAAGAAATATCAAAATGTCTCCCAAAATATAGATCTGGGAGAGGATGATGATGCCCATAGTAGAAACAGGGAAAGCTTGATGTGAAAGTGTCCTGAGTAGCAGATTACAATGGTCAAAATGTGGAGCAGACTAAGTGTCCATCCATGTGATAAAATATTATGAAGCCATTAAAAATAGCATTGATTATAAACGTGGTACCTTTCATCGAATTTTACATGTCATTCCATCATAAGGTGTACCACTGTTTCATGTATCATTAAGAAAGGGTGCTCCCAATTATAATTGAAGGATGCCATCAATTGTAAGACATCCAGATTTCAAAGATGTTAAAATGTGAAGAAATTTACATCTTATAAATCAATGAAATAAGGCAGACTTGTCATGCTATTGGTCTGATTTATCTGCACCAGAATAGCTCTTTTCTGTAAGGCCAAGAGAGAAGCCAAGGGCCTGAAAGTTTCTGACCAAGCCTCATCATGTTATCTAGATGGTTTTTAAACTGTAGATTTAATTCTAGCCAATTCCCCTCATCTAAAAAAAAAGAAAAAGGAATAACAACACTTCCAATACCAGATTGTTTGTGAGATTAATTAAAATAATGACTGCAAAATGCATGTGAGCTCAAGAAGGGGTCAGGGGTTTTAGAGTCAGGCCATATGGGAGGCGTGGAGAACAGTGCTTGGATGAGCCCACTTGGGTGGCAAGCAGCACAGTGCTGAGGGACGGGGTGTCCTTCATGGGGCCACTTGTCTTTTATGTGTTTCTCTGATTATTTAAAAAAAAAACAAAACTGCTCTTGGTTTTTTGTTGGTTTTTCTTTTTTAAGAAAGGTTTAAAGTAATGGGAATAAAAATGAGAAAATACCCATAATCTTGTCATCTGGAGCTGAGATAACATGTTAGCATGTTTCCACCAAGGCTCTAGGTTTTGGAGTTTTTATGTTTGTTTTGGGCTTTTCTTTTTACCCTGTTTTCCTCACCTTAAAAAAAAAAAAAGTGTATTGAGGAATAATTGATTTATAATGTGTTAGTTTCTGCTGTACAGCAAAGTGAATCAGTTATACACATATGTATATCCTGAGATATATGCTGGACATATGTGTATGTATATCCAGTCGTTTTAGATTCTTTTCTATATAGGTCATTACAGAGTATCAAATTGAGTTCCCTATGCTATACAGTAGGTCCTTATTAGTTATCTATTCTGTATAGAAAAGGGGAGGGATAAGTTGGAAGATTGGGGTTGTTTTTGCTTCATTTGGTTTGGGGTTTTGATTTTTTACTTTTAGAGAGTTAAGATATTCCTGGCAAAGCAATCTAGTTCCCTGTTATTTAGTTTTGCCTTGTAGAGTGTAGTAAGCACTTTTTCCATATCATATAAAAACTCTTTAAAAATTGGCTGCACATCTCTCATCAGGTGACTCCAGGGGGTCTCAGCTCTGGCTATGGATCAGAGTTGCCTTTGGGGCTCTTAAAAAGGTAAATGTCTGGGCCCCACTCACAGAGATTTTTATCAAGTCCTTGCCATCTGAAACCAGTGCGAAGGCCCACCACATTATCCCAGCGCTGGTTCTTTTGCTTGTTGGTAACTTTCACCATGTTAAACCACACTGTGGTGACTATCTCTATATAAATTTTCATTCCATGGTGTGGATTATTTCCCTAGGCGGCATCCTCAATGTGGTTTTATTGAGTTGAAGGTACCCAAGTGCATTTAAGGCCTTCAATTCATAAATTGGAGGAGAAGGCTGGTGGCCAGTAGTGGTTAGTAGCCTGGAGGGGAGACTCTGGGGCAGGTCGAGTGAGAAACAGTCCCAGGCTGAGGACAAAGACAGCCTGCAGGAGCATGTGAAGCATGAAGGATATAGTGTAGGAGCTTCCCACCTGAGCCAGCAGCTGCGGTCATGGGACTCAGGTCACTGCCAAGTCACAGGGCTTAGGTTTTTTAAAAGATGAAACATCACAGGCTTGGTGTGCTTTTCTGCTCGGCTCCAGTGGGGCCCCTCTGAAGGGACCCAGCCCAGCCCAAGAGGCAGAGATGGGCAGCAGTTCCTCCACGGCCCACAGCTTGCTTGAGGTTTTCAATTCCTTGGCCTTTTTTCTTTCTCTCCTACCAAACAGAAAATTCAAAATGCAGCTGGCTACGGAGTCTCAAGCTTCATTTTCTTTCCCCTGCCTGGAAGGGAAGAGGAAGGCAGCCTCCTTGCTGAGGCCCAGCCAGGTGCCAGACTGCCCCCTCCATCCTTGCCTTCTGCTGTGAGCCCATCCCAGGGCCAGAGGGCCCCTGTGGGCTCCCCAGTGAGGTCTCTCTTTAGGGCCAGGAGACCTATTCCTCCTGAGGATCAGAAAGTGAGACCCCAAGGTATCCAGCTATAGCTGAGTCTCCTACCTGCTCGACAGCTTCCAACAGTCTTCATCTCTGAGTTGCTTTGCATCTGTGGTCATAGTAATTCCCCACGACTACCCCTCACTGCCCACATCACAGATGGGAGAGGGGCGGCAGTTGTCCGCTACTTCCTGGCAGTTATGAG